GGGCCGGACGGCTGGCAGGGCAGGGAGTGCCGCCGGCCAGGGAGGTGCCTGGGTTCGCGCGGGTCCCGCGTTCCCGGAGTGCAGCCAAGGTCACGCCGCAGGCTAGGGCCGGGAGGGCCCAGGGTGGAGGGCTAAGGTCAGCCAGCCTTCCGGCGCCGCCCCCAACAGCCGACGCCGGAGACATTCCGTCCCAGTTCTCGGAAGCAGGCCAGGCCTTGACACTAGCTTTGCCGCTTTGGACGCTTGCCCCAAGCGCCTGGCGGAGGTTATGCTGCGTTCTCGGTGGCTTTAAAGAGTAGCGCACGTGCGACGGTACTTGGGTTTGGTCTTTGGTTTGTTTGGCGCCAAGGACTATTCCTGTTAATACAATCCGCGGTGGGACACATGTCTAAGTTATGCTTCTCACTGTTTCTTGAATGCTTAGATTGTACTTAATTCAGTGCTGGCTCACAGGATCCGACTGCTAGCCAGCCTTTCTCAGTTATGTTAGAAAGGAAGGCAGTGAAAATACTCAAGACTCGTCATTCTTTATTGTTTGCCATGTCGTATTGGTATCTATGTTCTGGAAGCCTTTTACATCTGTTGTAGCTGTGTGGAGGAGATATGTGGCGCCATCCCAACTCTTGGTTCAGTGATGTCACAGTTCAGTCATGTCACACTCATGGTCAGTGAGTACACCATGGAAACGGGTATATACTCCCTCCCACCCACAGCCAGTGGTTATCACCTGAGATGTGTAGGTATGTCAGGTAGTTGCATCTATAAGCTGGTTCTGAGGGATTTTTTTTGTTTTTTTTTTTTGAGAGATTTTCACTGTAGGGCGCGTGCACTCGCCAGAAAGACAGAGAGAGACATAGAGACAGAAAGCGAGAAATCACCCCCCAGGGGGGATGGCCACACCGCAATCCCTTCTCCTCCATTCTCCTCTCGGGATCTTGGGTGCACACGCACACGCGCGCCCGGCGTGAGTTTTAAGCCACCGGGTCCGGGACGCGAACCGCGGTCGACTACGTGGGAGTCCAGCGATATAGCCATTACGCTAACTGCTGGTTCCCTCTGAGGGATTTTGAGGGCGACATGAATTTCAACCCCTATCACTCAGATAAATGACTGAAAGAAATGTCTCAGATTTAATCCCCCTTTTCACTTGGAGCCAGTTTCCGAGCTCAAGGTTTTGGTAGAATTATAATAACTTCTTCTTGATTTCAGTTGTATTTTTTTTTTTGAGAGGTTCGCTATAGGGTGCGTGCGCTCACCAGACAGACAGAGACAGAGAGATAGAGAGACAGAAATCACCCCTCAGGGGGGATGGCCACGCTGCAATCCCTTCTCCTCCATTCTCATCTTGGGATCTTGGGCACGTGTGTGAGTTTAAGCCACCAGGTCTGGGACTCGAACCGTGGTTGACTACGTGAGAGTCCAGCGACATAGCCATTATGCTAACTGCTGGTCCCAGTTTCAGTGATATTCTTTAACTGAGGAAAACAGTTTGTTCTTCAATATAGCAGTAAAGTTTCGTATAAGGCGATAGTAGACCCAGTTCTTCAAACCTGGATTTTGGTTCTGTAAATGGGATCTGTTATGCATCTTAAATTAATTCTTGAGTTATATTTCGTGTATAATGTTAGGTTGAAGTTCTTTTTTAGAAATATGAGTATCTAGTAGTGCTAACACCATTTGTTGGAATGACTTTTTCCCTCATTTAATTACTTTCACACCTTATTATTAAACATCAAATACCTGTATGTGTGGATGTATTTCCAGGATCTGTATTCTCTTCCATTGATACATTTGTAAATCTGTAGCTCAGTTCTACATTGTGTTAACCATTGTCTTGCATATCTTAAAATTATTTACTGTTATATTGTACTATCATGATTATGGTTTTTTCTTTGTGTGTTTTTTCACTTGTTGAAAATGTTTTTATTTCTCTACAAAATTTCTAAGGCTTGTACTGTCATGATTTTGGTCTGTGTAAAAAAAGTTCTATGGGAAATCTAATAAAACTATCCACACTGATTTTGAATTCTTTCTCCCTTCTTGAGTAAATCACTTAACCTCTGATCCTTCATTTCCTAACTATAAAATGGGGTTAATTAGTAGTACTTACCTTGTTGGACTTAATTAGACATAAGGCTTATTGCTTAGCACTTTGCTTGGTGAATAGTAAGAGCTCAATGAAATATTACTATTACCTCTTGTTATCACTGCAGATCCACATAGCACTGAGAATATGTTTGCGGCCTACTGAGTACAGTTGAGTTACTAGGGAAGAGAACAGGCAAATGAAGAAAGTCTGTTTCGTTTAGGATGCATTATTGTTAAGCATCACTGGAAGTTTTTTCTAGGTCCTTTTGGTTGTTTTGAAATTTGAGAGGAAAACTTGGAGGACTAACTGTAGTTTTTCTGGGTGTTTTTCTCCTAAAACAGACATTAGTTATTTGTTCATTTTAGTTTGGTTTTCCAAAATCGAAACTTAGAATTTCACAGTTAATATATTATTAAAATAGGATGATATTTAGGAGTTCTGTATTACAGCTATTAAAATTTACTTATACAAGTAGCGACCAGTATATGGCTTAATGGTAATGTGGCTGGACTCGCACATAGTCGACCACTGTTTGAGTCTCTGATCCTGGGGCCTAAACTCAGGCTGGCTGCATGTGAATGTGTGCCCAAAATCCTGAGAGAAGAATGGAGAAGGGGTTGTGGGGTGGCCATCCCCCCAGGGGATGATTTCTTGCTTTCTGTCTGTCTGGTGAGCGCACATGCCATATAGCAAACAAACAAACAAACAAACAAACAAAAAACCTATAAAAGTCAGTATTTTCTTATTTAGTATCTTCATTCTTATAGGAAACTTTGAGGGAAATTTTGAGTCGCTGGACCTCGCAGAATTTGCTAAAAAGCAGCCATGGTGGCGCAAGCTATTTGGGCAGGAATCTGGGCCCTCAGCTGAAAAATATAGCGTGGCAACCCAGCTGTTAATTGGAGGCGTCACTGGATGGTAAGTAATGTGAAAGATGTTCGCTGTCTTTTGTGCATGATCTAGTATTGTCATTAGTATTGTCATTATAGGAGCTTCTATGATTTGAATATGTCACACCCCTCCACCCACCAAATTCATGTGTTAACATTTGGTGAACCATTGTAAAGGTGTTGGGAGGACAGTCTTAATCTGATCATGAAAGTAAGAGATGGTGCTTTTGGGAGTTGTTTAGGCATCAGGGTGGGCCCCATGATTGGATGCTCATGGGTTTATAAGGAGACACCAACACTGCACACTCCTGCCTTCTCACCATGTGATGCCCTTTGCCGTGTTATCCACCAAGAAGGGTCTCACCAGAAGCAGCCTCTTGACCTTGGATATCCAAACTGTGAGCTAAATCACTGTTCTCATAAATCACCCAGCTTTGGATATTTCTGTTGGCAACACAGTGGACCAAGACAGTAGCTGTCTCTTAACCAGTAAATTATACAATGACTTCTGGAAAATTGATCACTTCATGTGTAAACACTTATCTAAGCATCATGTTAAAGTACTGTTTAACGGTATATATAGTATTTACTACTTTATTATTTGCCATGTGCTGTTTTCGTATCTTCTTTCTTTCTTTCAATAACTCTGAAATTGGTGCTGTATCTATCCTTGTACAGACATGGGCTCAGAAAGGCCACAGAACTAGTAAGTGATGTTATAAACTAGTTTATGGTTCATTTCTGATAAATTGAAAAAAAGGTTAATAGCAAATTTAGTGAGTATAAAATACATCAATCTCAGACTTCATGCATTTGAAAATGTTACCACAAATATTGAGCAGTGTGTATAAGAAATATACACTTTAACAAATACTTATTGTTTCTCAGCCTTTTGGGAAAGACGAAGTATAACAAATTCTTACAAAGTGAACACAGAGGTAATAACCACTCAGGTTAAGATAAAATGGTTAGAGGATCAGCATTTAGCATAATGGCTATGTTGCTGAACTCCCATGTAGCTGACCGTGGTTCGAGTCCCGGACCTGGTGGCTTTAAACTCACGCTGGGCGCATGTGTGTGCGTGCCCAAGATCCCGAGCGGAGAATGGAGAAGGGATTGCGGCATGGGGGTGATTTTTCGCTTTCTGTCTGTCTTTCTGGAGACCACACGTGTCCTATAGCAAAAACCTCTCCAAAAACAAAACAAAACAAAAGGATAAAATGGTTAGTTTTGGGACCAGCAGGTATTATGGTGATCGAGGCACTGGAATCTCACATGGCTGACTGTGGTTCGAGTCCTGGACCTGGTGACTTGAAAAATCACACCGAATGTGGGGCTGGCAAGTGGCGTGGTGATTAAGGGTACTGGACGGCCACATAGCTGACCATGGTTCAAGCCCTGGACCTGGCAGCTTGCTTTCTCTCTCTTTTTCTGGTCAAATTAAAATAAATCAATAAAATAAAGTTCAATTAAATAATTCTTTAAAAAAATCATACTTGATGCATGTTTGTGTGCCCAGAATCCCAAGAGGAGAATGGAAGAGATGGGATTAAGATACTATTAGTCACCCCTGGGGGAGCAACATCTCACGTTCCTTCTCTCTATTTCTCTGTGTCTCTCTGGTGGGCACCCTGTAGCAAAAACATAAATTAATAATATGGTCAGCACTCTGTAAACTAAAGAAACTAGAGATCATTAAGCAGTTATTTTCTTTTTTCTTTTTTTTGGAGAGGTTTTTGCTATAGGGCGTGTGCGCTCGCCAGACAGAGAGAGACAGAGAGACAGAAAGTGAGAAATCACCCCCCTGGGGGGATGGGCACGCATGCACACGTGCCCAGCGTGAGTTTTTAAGTCACTGGGTCCGGGACACGAACCGCAGTCAACTCCGTGGGAGTCCAGCGACATAGCCATTATGCTAACTGCTGGTTCCCAAGCAGTTATTTTCTTGTGGGGTGTGGTCACAAAGCAATCTGTTTTCCCTTTCTCCATCCCATTCCTTTCTCCATCCTGTTGGGATTTGGGGCACACATGCACCTTGCATGTTTTTCAAGCCACTGGGGCCAGGATTGAACCATGCCATTGGTCAGGTGAGATCTGGCTCCCTTAACCTCAAGCCTTGGGGCCTGCCCTTTCTCTATAGCATTAACACCAATTCTGTCACTAAATAATATACTGTTCTTGCCTGTGTTAAAAGAAAAATAAACCAGCCAATTTAATAGAGTTTTAATAGATCAAATCTTAACATGATTTAAATTGGGCAGTTGTCCCCAGACTTCCAGGCAACTCCTGCCAGCCTCGTGGTCAACCTGGCCTTTTAAGTCAGCAGAATAGGAAAGTGTGTAATAAAAGAAAAGTGTCATACACAAACGTAAGTGAGGAAGTAAGCTAGAGAAATCATTGGTTACATTCTGAAGTTAGTCTTCATGGTTTAAAAGGCGGGATTCCTGTGACTGATTGAAGCCAAGCTGCTGTGATTGGCTGTAACTTAGCAACCAGCTCAGAACAGCCTAACATGTATGATTTTGGCTTATCCATAGGAATCAAAGTGTGGGAATACAGCAGCTGTCTTAGGCCAAAATAGTTTAACAATTTCCCCCCTTTTGGCCAGCCTCTCAAATATTTGGGAGATTGACTAAAACTCAAGGCGTTTGTGCTGCTCTCTGTCACCATCATAAATGACATTGTCTTGCTCTCAGCTTAGAGAGCAGGAGTGTTCTCTGGTCTTCAGTATGGAATCCACAGGTAATGATGTCACACATGTCAAACAGGTCTTCATTGGAGCTTTTACAGATCTGCTGAAACAAGGCCATTCAGCGTTTGATGGGTGGCTGCGTGTGAAGCAGTTAAGACTTGAGAGGACAGAGTGCACAAGGAGGACTAATGTGATGACTGAGGTGCATCCCTAACAAAAGTTCCTATGAAACGGCCGAAATGAATTTAAACAAGTTAAGGTTCAGGCCACATAGGCAATTCAACAGTGTTGGAGCCTAGTTGTCTGGAGTGTGATAATTGAGGACCATAGTTCTTTGTAATGACCTGATAAAAAGGTATTTATCTTTGTTGTTAGTCTAGTAATATAAGTCAGAATAACGGAGAGGCCTACTGGGAAAAATACAAAGATTAAAAAACCTTGAACAACACAAGCCTGCCGTCCACCATTTAGGATGCCTGTAACTAGCCATTAGCTGCACCTGTAAACACATCATCTTTTTTTTTTTTAATAAATTTTTATAATTATTTATTTTATTATTTATTTATTCATTCATTTATTTTTTTTAATTTGACCAGAGAGAGACAGAGGGTGAGAGTGAGAGAGAAAGTAAGAAAGCAAGCTACCAGATTCAGGACTGGAACCCTGGTCGGCTATGTGGGAGTGTCCAGCGTCTTACCCATCACGCCACCTGCTGGTCCCAACACATCATCTATTAATTACTCTTGAGAGACTTCCCTGGTATATCTGGTGGCTGAGTCTAAGGCAGCTGCAGTTTCAGGCACTTCTTTAATATAGTCAGGAGAGAGTTAAGTACAATGTTCAGTTTTGTTTAGTATTAAGCAAGCCACTAGCTTGAACCAAAAGGATATTGAAAGCTGGATGATATTTCATTGTTTTGTTAAACTTTTATGTTAATCATTCACTTTTTGAAGGGTGGCTTTTACCCACCTGAAACCCCAGGAGGTCTTATTTGCTATAAATTGAAATTTTTTTCTAGTTTATGGATAAGCTTTAAATACAACCAGTATCCCACTACTGCCAAAAGTAAGTCTCTAGGAACCTTACTGAAATTTTTTCTACATTAGTCTATAAACTTTATAACTGTTCTGGCTTTGTGTTAGGACGTAACTTCAGATTACAGTTAACTACTGATTATCGTTCCATGACTTCCCTGTAGGGAAGAGGAAAGAATTAAGACAGTAGGAATTGAGATTAAAAAAGAAAATAGAAAGAAACAACAAAGTTTTCATGGTGGCAGCCAAGTCTTGATCCGTGATACTGGGGCACAGCTGTCCATGTCCAAGATGTCTGTTTTGAAGAAGAAATTTTCTTGGTCAGTTTTACCTCAAAGTCCCCAGTAGGTGCAAAATTCTAAAAATCTAAAGTAGCTCTTCTGAGTTGTGAACCCAGAGTTCAAGTTCTGAAGCTCTACGGCAGTGGAGTAGTGAAAAGAATTTGGTACAGTGTCTTCCAACAGGGCTCATAGGCAGTCTTTTTCTGCTATCATTTCCAGAAGACCCCTTCTGTGGACCATGGAGGGTTTGATTGTCTTCAGTCAGTGAATCACAAACAGCATTCTTTACCTGAGGAAAATATACTTTGGCATAATTCATTAGAGCCTAGCAGAGTTTAGTTACCTCAGATTTGTCCAGAAATGTCTCATGAAAGAAACACATTTTATAATAACCTTTTGACTACTGTTACAGCGGTACTTTTCATCATGGAAAAATCTCTACACAACTAAAAATATGTGATGAAAATGACAATGCATGAAATTCCTTTATAATCTTTAAATGGCATATCAGATAGTAGAAATGTACCTGTATTTTTTACTGTCTTTTCAGCATCAAGTTGACAAACTAAACATTGGCTGTAAGATATTTTAACAATTTTAGAGCTGTTACTACACTATATTACCATAGAAATTAGGAGAAACCCCTTAATGCTGTGACTGATATAATTAGATTTTTTGAGTCTGTTAAAACAATAACTTGCTTTTATTTTTGTATATACCCTTGATAACAAGTATTTTAGCATTACTTTTTAATTGTTAATTTTGTTATTGTTTTTACCCTAAATATTTATTTAGTAGGTGTAATTTGTAGGTTTAACCAGGTAGAAAGTTTATATTTTAAAGGCACATAACAGATATGAGATGATTACAGGTAAGAATTGTTATGCAGACTAATTGCCAGAATGCAGGTGTTCCTGTTAGACTGGGAAGCACTCCCAACAGGGAAGGGTCACAGCAATCCCTGTTTATTTTTTTCCACTAATAGTGGAGATTTATGGGCATGCGTACACATACCTTTTTC